ATTTCTTGTCACCATCTTTACGTTTCTGAAAAGCTAATTCTTTCACCTGCAAAAAAGTGACAAAACTTTCCTGGACCAGACCAGAGGAAGGGTACACCCTGGACAAGTTACAAGTCTATGACAGACACATAGAGGCAGACAACTGCTCACACCCATACCTATGGGCAGTTGCATTGCCAGTTAACTAAGCCTTTGTTTTTGGACTGTGGGAGGAAGCCGGAGCACCTGGAGAAAACCATGGAGAGTAAAGGGGAGAACAGGAAAACTCTGGAGCTGAAAGGCCCCAGTCGGCCACAGGGTTTAAACTCAGAACCTTCTTGCTGTGAGGAAACAGTGCTAACCACTGTTCCACTGTCCTGTCCTGTTTGGTTGTTATTTGTGGCACAACAATAAAAATGTGTTCACTTCTTCATTCATTCAAAAGATGTCAATGAGCTGCCCTTTGTAATGAGATAAGGAAATGATTCTCAGATGATTCTTGCTAATCCTGAAGATGCTGGTTATTTCATTTATTTATTCATTCAAGGCATTTACCTAGTGTCTGGATCATGGTAATTTCCTACACTTGTGACTGAGCTAAGCTTTGGAGTGGTTCAAATCCTCATTGTTTTATGTAAATTGATGTATTTTGAGAATGGCCGTCCCTGGTAGGCTAGTAGTTTAGCGCTCTCGCCGCTGTGCCCCGGGTTTGAATCAGGGTTGCGTCAGGAAGGGCATCCGGCGTAAAATACGTGCCAAATGTCAACATGTGAGTCGTCATTGTGATGATTCGCTGTGGCGACCCCTAAAAATGGGAAAAGCCAAAAGTGACTTTCGATGTGTTTTGAGAATGCCCTCAGGTTCACAGCCTTTGCCACCCATTGCATATCCTTTTGTTACTGGGAATTGCCCATGATGTGTGCCTGATGCCTCTTTTGTACACAAATAACAAGCTAATGAACATTGGAATAATGGGATAATACATTTGCCCTTTGTCTGTAAAGATCTGACTACCTCTGTACACTTAAGACCAAGCTGAAAAGTATAACTCTGTACTAAACAATGTAATTAAATGGGCCTTATCTTAATGCTGTGTATCATGTATCAAATAGGATTCTTTCCACATTACATAATTTGTATTTCTTAGTTTTTCTTAATTTCACATAATTTGTCATTTTCATTTCTCAATGTATTGGATATATTGTGTGGTGCTAATCCCACCCCTCTGCTCAGACACTCTAACAAAGTTTGTATTGCAGTGACAAAAATCATGACCCACTTATCCTTCACTGGCTTCCTACCTGCCACACATTAAAGAAGGTGGAACCTGACCATGTTCAAGGGGGCGCCTGGCCAAGATGGAAGTATTTAACCTAGCTCAGTGCAGTGTTGTACAAGGGCTTTTATCCTTATGAGGTTGGATAAAATTTGGTTAATAATTTGACTTGTTCAGGAGCTGAACAGACCTCTTTAGCTTGGAACTTTGGACTCTACTGCCAAGTCTTGACTCTTAGTTGTGGCCAAAGACCTGACCCAACCTCTGGCTTATGGTAATCTTGTAGCTAAATGTTGTATCTTTCATACTAAAGCCAGGCTGGGTCACACAAGCAATGTTGACTTAACTTGCGTAGTTGGCAAACATGAAGTTTTCCTGGGTCCCTGCTCTTGTGTGAAGCAACTACTATATAAACCATGTTGTGTGCATCATCTCTCTATGTCAGAAAGGTTGATATTAATAGACTGACTGGCCAACTCTTGTAATTATAGCACTGAATGTAAAAGCCTGAATTGCAGCATGTGTGCAGCCTTCTTGGGGCTTTCCCCTCTAGCTGACGGTGACGTAGATGAGGGTGTGTGTCTTGGTCTGTGTGTGAGTGTGTGAGTGCGCTGACAGGGAGGAGTTGGGTGGTAGAGACAGCTGTGCAGGCTAGATATGTAGTTAACAGTAGAAAGCATTCATGTTACACATTCTGCTGCAGTGTGTCACCAGACTGTCTCTCTTTCTCTCACTTCCCTCTGCTTCCCACTCCTTCTCCCTTCACTTCTCACGTCCGCCTGTCCCTGTCCACACACACGCACACACATACGTGCCCATATGCATGTACAATCATTCCCTTCTCTCTCTCTCCCCTCCCCCGACCACAAACATCCCCTTTTCCTCTCTCCTTTCTCTGCCCAAAGTTTCCCGCTGTAGTAAATGAAGTCATATCTCTTTGGCTGGTAACACTACCACTATTTCCTCCTTCCTTCTGCAGCACTGTTCCTGGATTACACCTCACCCACACATGTACAAACACACACACATACACACACACACACACACACACACACACACACACTCGCTTCCTCAAGAAAAAGTAAGGAAAAATGAAGAAGTTGCTTTAAGGATGACATAAAGTTGTTCTTGCCTCTTCCAGACTAGGTGTGTCAATGCTGTCCGTCTGAGGCCGTATTAAATATCGAAGTCGTTAAATATCGCAGCTGTGTGTGTGTGTGTGTGTGTGTGTGTGTGTGTGTGTGTGTGTGTGTACGTGCAAAAGTCTCCAGATTTCTTGGTCTTTAGAAAAAAAGAATGCTGGTAAGAAGCTAGCTACCAGGGGAGGAGGAGAAACCCAGAGTGCTTGAGTGCTGCACCAGGTTTGTATCATTTAATTTGCCCTGTAATGAGTCTTGTTACCACTGTGAGAGGCAGAGAGATTTGACTGGGGACTTCAAAGTTAAGCCACAGGGAGGGAGGGAAAGGAAAGAGAGGCAAAGAAGCAGAGGAAAACATACAAGCCAACACACCCTCACTTGAAAATGTCTGAACATATTGATAGCAAGAGACAAACTTTGTTTTTACTACTTCCTTTATCCTTTCACCCTCTTCCTCCTCCTCCTCCTCCTCCTCCGCACTGCCCCACACCCTTCTCAAACGAACCCTCTCTCTTCGAGCTCTGGACAGAGACTGAAGCAGAGAGCTTGCAAGAGGTCTGAAAAAGTTGGCTGTGTCTGTGCATGACAGTGCGTCTGTGTGTCTACTGGAGTATGTATGCCTCTCAGGGAATATGTGTGTGTGTGTCTCCATGGGTGTGTGTGTCTGTGTGGGAATGATTACATCAGCCTGCTGCAGTCTTATGATTGGTTGTTGAGCGTGTGGTTTGATTCACTGTGCCTCGGAGCCCGTGGCTGAGGCTGTAACCCTTTGTGAGGGGGAGAGGGAGGGAGGGACAGAGAGAGAGAAGGAAAGAGAGTTGTCAGACTCAACCGGCACTGGCAGCACTGTACTCTACCTGCTTCCATCTGACTGCTGACTGGCTCTGTGTCACTGTCCTGTGGGCTTTACAGGCATTGGCTTTAGGTCACCAAAGTGTTTTATTGTTTGTTTTGTTATTTTAAGTCACACCTGGTGGCCTAGATAGACTAAAGAACTAATCCCCAGCCTGTGTGGCAGGTAGCACAGTTTTTCTCTTTTTGGAGGAGACAAGGCAACAGAACAGTGAGGTTTTCTATCTCAGTGACTGTGTGTGTGTGTGTGTGAGACTAAGTGTGTAGGGAGCCAGGTCAAAAATGCCTTCGTGTTCCCCGGACTGCTGCCTATTGCGGGCCGTGGAGGTAAGAATGCTCTATTTCTGTGTCTCTTATCTTTTCTTGTATGTCTCTGCCTCTTTTTGTCTCTTTATTTATTTATTTTACATTGTAATACCATTTATTTTCAAAGTTCTGCTGTGCTTGACCAGAGACAAGAGTTGGAATGTGTAAAAAGACAATTTTTAAAATGTGAGTGGAGCAATAAAGAGATTCCAGTATGCAGCTCTGGATGAGCGAGGCTCCCTTGCTTTTTCTCTTGAGCATTTTGGATGGAGAGAGGACCTCAGGCCTGGTTTGTGCAAACTGTATTTTTGCACAGGAAGAGAACAAAATTTCTTTGTCATGATATATGTTATTATGTGGGAAGCATGCATATATTACATTTGTAGGCTTAGTAGGCTGGATTCCTGTGTAGGCTAACAAGGCTGAATTCCTCTACAAGTTAAGCAGACTCGTCTAGATTTCTCTGAGAGCCATGAGAAGTGTACTTGGTGAATGTGGCTGTATGTGGCTTTACACAGATGACATCTGACATCTGTTCAGCAGCTGATTATTGTTATACTGTATATTATCTGGGCAGGTATGTAGTGCCTCAGAAAGTATGTGAGTATGTCTTTGAGTCAGTAGCAATAATGCAAACAAAATGGAAACAAGTACCAATCATGAATTAGGAAAAAAGATCATAAATTATTCAACAAACTCCACACTCATTCTGAAATTCACTATGTCTATAATCTTATCATTGGCCCAATTTCAGCATATTAACTTATGGAAAAAGACTTCATGAAGTCTAGCTTGAAGCATATTTGACGATCATGTCTTACATTTTCTTGATAAGCTCTAATTTGAAACACCATGCTTATTTCATCTTAAGCTACAGTATATACCTATATGGTGCAGCTAGTCCTGCTTTGTTTTCACAAGAGAAGATTCTTGTTAGGTGTTACAGTATATTTGCTTCTATATTACACCAACAAGTTGCTATAATAAATACTTGTCTGTGATTTCTAACACCACAATTACTACACAGCCTTGAACGTCTGTTCTTTTCTATTGTGTGCTGTAATTACGGCCCTGTGTATGTTATAGTGTATGGGGTGCTATATGATAAAGACTGTGCTAGTGTTTGAAGAAAATTGCTGGTTTCACTCCCATATTAGGCTAAAGAGTATTCAGTGGTGGTTTGTGTCAAATGACTTTAGCACAACTTGGTATCACATAAAAATCTATATTCAGAAACGATCTCATTTTAGATTATTCTTTGCAACAGCGAAGGTGTATTTATGTTTTTCATTTTCTTATATTGAGGACATGTATGCAAAAGTTAAAATACATTTTGTCATGTTTTCATTTCCTTTATTGAAACACTGTTTAGCACAGTTTACCAAATTACTTTCATACGATTTCCGTTTAATATACTGCATCTGAATGCTAATCCTTTGTCTCCACAGATTGTAAAGATCTTTAGTGAAGATGGCATTGGTAAAGTGGTGGAGATCCCAGCCGACATGACAGCCAGGGACCTGTGCCAGCTCTTGGTTTATAAAAGCCACTGTGTAGACGACAACAGTTGGGCACTTGTTGAGCACCACCCACTGCTAGGGCTAGGTAAGGGGCAAAGCCCTGCAGGCTTGAAACATTGTTCACATACACACAAAAGCACAAATGACTACACATGCACAGATGCTCACACATTATCACACTTGCCCACACAGAAACTCGTACACTTTTGGGTGGGCTGAGCATGCAATCCAGCCACTGACTCTCTCACTGACCTCTGACCACTGAGTGTATATATGCAGGCATGTGTGCCCACATTCGCAGGCAGACAGACAGTTCAGGCGCCTATTCTTAGGCAGGCATATATTCAAGCATGAGTGCATGCCCATACTACTGTATGCAGTACATCCACAAACACAGACATAATGTCCATGACACGGCGGCTGTGTGAAAGGTTGCTGTAGCAGTGCAGTACGACAACAGAAGGACAACTGAGGTAGATAAGAAGCTCACAAACTGAGCTGCATGTCACTGAAAAATCTGTAGCCTAAACTTATTGATCAACTTGGGGGCTCAAAGAAAGTGATGGAAAAAGATCAGAATTGCTTTAGTAGTGACAGGCCAGTGAATTTCTGATTTAGTAGTGCAGACAAGCTGAGAAAAAGAAAAAGCACTTGCAACATACCTGACCTGAATGTCCAGTAGTTGTTTTAGAGATACAACAGTTGTTAATCTTGGCATCCTTCACTGATACTTTAAAATCTTTAGTTCAGGAGTGGCATTACCACCGACACCACTGTCCTGAAAATAGAAGCTCTTGCTGCATCCGACAGGGAGCTCTGGACTAATGTAGTGCATAACAGTCAAAATAATGATGGCTGTGTGCTCTCAGAAATGAGGAATAGAATTAGATGTAGAACGTTAAGTTTGACAGAACAGATCTACATGTTGTATTTTAGTTGGCCGGTCATTAGCAGGTATTATACAATAGATTCTTCATAGATAGGAGTCACCGCTGCTTAAGGTATTTGAGAAAGTGGATGGAAGGAGGACCTGTGTATCTCACTGCCCGTAGTATGTTTGCTTACATTTGCCAATGTCCAAACAGATGGTCTATTCCAGTGGTTAATAAAGGTATTTTAACTTGCTGCTGCATTAGGAAGCAAGAAAGCATTGTATTTCTATCAGAGGGAACGTTTATAAAAAACCCAACCTCCCCCTGAGGACAGGGTGATTATAAAGCACTTAGGGAAGACAAGTCGAGCCTGTGTTTTGGGCTCATGTCTGTACAGTTTAGCAGGTGTGGGAGGGAGGGGGTGTAGTTTTATAACGAGCAGAGCGCCTGGTTGTGAAAGGCAGGAAGACATGTTAAAAACACGTATAAACACTTTATTCCCCCCTCCAGAATGTTTAGCTACATCTGCACACAGGCTGTTATACTGTCATGTCAGGAAACTTTTAGAAAATATATTGCATTATTCAAAGTACAGGTCCCAAAGTGCTAACCTAATATTTCACCATCCATCACGCTCTGATTACATTTCTTGTCACTGCTGCCAAAACAATGCTGCCCACATTAGGTTGGCTTGTTATGAATGACATCATTTTTGGCTCACAGTACCTTTATTCTATTATAACCCTTCTTCTCTTCTGGCACACCTGTACTGGTCTAGAATAACTGCTTGCCATATTTCATGGTTAAGAGGTTCAGTAAATGAGATGTTACAATCCAGTGGTTACGCCCTTGCCACTACGGTGTTAGTGTGTGTTTATGTGTGTGCCCTTGTGTGAATTTAAGTCTGTACATATAGAAAATAAACCTTCCAAAGCTGGGAAATGTTTTGGGTTGAATCTGTTTATCATATGCATTGTGCATGTCAGACATTATTATTAGTATTGTCTGTATATTTCAACCAGTGATTTGACTCGATTGTAGCTCTGTTAGCTGTCTGATTGCCAGACCTTGTTCTGTAGTTGACATAGTATGTAAGATTCCTGCTACAGCTGCACTGCATGTGCTGTGATCCCTAAAGTGTGCACATATGTTTAGGTGGTAGATGAGAATAGTTGTTTCATGGAGAGAATAGAAAGGCCAGTTCCCATACAGTATATTGCTGTCTGCTCTTACACTACTGCATAGGATAAAGTGGTCCTTTGAGACAGGTAGCACTGACCTCTAGTCATCAGCCATAAAAGGTTAACAATTCTGGGACAGTGAGGTAGTGTTGCCAGGGTGAGTCACTGTCACGAACATGAGTGACTCATCAGACAGGCGACAGGATAAAATGGAAAGATACAGAAGAGTCGTGACAGTGTTAGACAGAGAGAGCAAAGGGACACATGAAATGACACAATAATGCCGTGAAATAGAGCTGTACAGTCTAATGATGTGTCAGGCCACATACTGGTGTCGCAATCGTTAGTTAAGTTGCAAAACTTTAATTCATCTGCTGGGAAAAAGGTGTATGCCTTTTATTATAGACATTACAGAGAGATCTTGTAAGGCTCTTGGAGAACTGACTGTTGCTCTCAGAGAATATGAATCCCCAGGATCTCTGGCCACATTCACACATGGACACAGTTGTAGTTAAGTCACATCCATTTCTATTCACTATGGGAGAGAAAGGCCTTGGTTAGATCATCAGTCACAGCTCATTTGAAGAGCACAAACCATTGCAACCAGTCTGCAATTTTAAAATTCCTTCTAAGCCACTGAACAGGTCAAATGAAACACAGGATAATTTTAGAACATTTTTGTCCCATTCACCACGTTTGTGTGTGTGGGGGGTGGAATTCTTACCCAGACTCATTTATTATTAACTATGTGTGTGTGTGAGCATGAATGATGTTATTGCAAAGGAGAATTGATACTTACAAAACCTACTTTGGAAAAGACATGATAGATAAATAAATGGCTGAGCTACACTCATTCACAGCAAACCCCTGACTTGATTTTAAGGTCATCAGAATATCAAAGAAAGTTGAGCCTAAATCTGGAAAAGGTTTTGGTTCTTCAACCCTCACTGACATGTTGTACTGCAGTGTAAAGGTACAGGAGTTGTTGAGCTAGAGTTAGTGTACTTGTCCTTTCACTTTCATTATAACGTTTTCCTGGACTGTTTCTGTTTCAAACTTACAAGGAATATTAATAACAGAATTTCCCCCGAATATACATGGTGCTTCTATGACATACTAAAAGAAGTGATTGTAATCATAGGGAACACATTGATATTCACTCTTTTGACAGAACATGTTATATTAATGTGAGTTTTATTCTTAAAATTATCTTTAATTGTAGAATAATTTTAGGAAGACGATGAAACCGTTTAAATACTAACCTCTATCACTGTTCTGGTCCCTCTCCTCAGAGCGCTATCTAGAAGACCATGAGCAGGTGGTTCAGGTCCAGACCTCTATGACCAGCGACAGTAGATTCCTGTTCAGGAAGAACTATGCCAAATATGAATTCTTCAGAACCCCCCTGGTAAATGCTTTTTCTGAGACATTTCTTTGTGCTCTTACCCCTATATGCCTATAAAAAAAAAAAAAAAAAGAAGAGGTTGTTAC